CTCTAGTTTTACTTTTAATTTCCATAATTCGATTTGTTAAGAGCTGTGGAAGCTTACTTTCTGACTATTTTTGAGCCACCGAATTTAAGAAGAATTTGAAGTGCTTTTTTTGAAGCACGGCAATAACTATTATCAGACATGTCTATCAGCTTCAAAAGCAGCTTGAAGTTCAGCAAAAGTAAAATATAGAAGGATTTTTGACGTTTCTGACGTCATCCTAGTGGTTTTGCATTTGACAAACAGCGTCTAAAATATTAGAGAATCCAATTATACTTGGTCTTCACTCAACCGTGTCCTTAAATGTACCTTTCTGTCTACTGCTGGCCTCAATCTCTGACGCTTTATTTGTGCGATCAACATTTTCCAGAATTAATTAGTCAGAAGTCAAATTTGGGAAATGCATCGCTTAAAACTCCAGACAATTTTGCTCTAATGGAAAGACCTTATCATTAGATTTGTAAATTCAAAGTGGTTTTTTCGTTTTTGTTATTGTTTTGAGCGTCAAAGACATTTCCGAATAACCTGAGAGATTTAAGCACATATTTTACATGCTTTGTCTTAGCTTTCCAGTGAAAGAAAATGATAGCGAAAGCCATGCAATTTCCTGCTACCTAGCGCATCTTTCCAGTAATGTCTAAAATATTTCAAAAAATAGAACTTTGAAGGATATGCAGGGAAGATCAGTGGTAATTCACTGGAGAGTACCGATCGAACACAGTAAGCTCGTTTCAGCTATAAGCTATAAGATCCTAGGAAAGTACAGTTGACTTTTTGTACGAACATAATTTGTGAAAGACAAATATTGAGGTCACAAGCCATTGCAACTGCTGAGGTTTCCACTAGTAATAAGTAACTCAGGAATATGACTAGCAGCAAGCTTTAAACTCGTCCAAAACGAAAATAAAAACCTTTTCGTCGAGTTCGCTCGCGCTTTGACGGCGATCAGTAGGGCTTTGGGGAATAAATTTTATAAGGAAGTTCTTGAGCTAAAAAAATTGTCTATGGCTGATGCAGTCCAGATATTATTGTTTCTTTGGTTAGCAATTACTTTTTTTTCACAAACGCCAGATTATGTGTTAAAGTTCAGGGAATTGAGCCATAAACAAAAACTACACCATTAAAGTCCAGCTGACGCAAGGATTCTAAAAGTCTTGGTGGGATATCTGGTAAATAGCGGTGGATCTACAGCTCAGATGTTATTCACATTTGTTTGGTTGCCATTTAAAATTTTGGGAGCACTCATATTTGCAGGGGAAAAAACGAGAAGCTTTCGGATTTCTAATATGAAATCAAAATATCCACTTAACAAATGCTTCGTAGAATGATGGCACAAACGGATGCGTATTGATTTGTTTTCGTGAAACTAATTCCTATGCGGATATTACCAGTCTAGTGAGATTGAAAGTACAAAATGTTATATCCATCTTTTGTCCCATTGTAGAGTCACAATGCAGGTTGTGCATGACTAATATTACTACCGTAATCTCACAAGAAGTAGGTGATGGTGAATATTCTATACTTTTCGTGCAGGCACCACATGACAGAACCAAGCTTTAAAAAAAAATCTTCTACAGGAAGTATGTACAGTGAAATCCTACCCATTTTCAAAATAAAGCTTCTAATAACATAATCGCTTTAGGACAGATTGAAATATGAAGTTAGACCTCATTTGCTATTCTAAACTTTGAAGATCCCAATCAATGTCATTTCCAATATTATTTATTTGGATATCGTTGTCATTTTACATCATATAAATTTCATTTAACTACATTATAATTACTAAACCAACTCTAGGTTACCAATGTAATTCCTTACCTATTCATGCAATGAGGGTCATGTGGATAAACTCGATGACGAGGTGATGCGTCTGCCGACATTTGCGCCTAGAATGGTACCAAATAATTGGTCATAAGCGCAATTAATATAATATAAGAGCAGTTTTTCGGATCACAATGACTCCGCTGAGAAGGTGAAAAGCTATGAACACGAATCTAAAGGCTCTTTATGAAAAACACAATAATAACCGCGAGAAAACCCTTACCGGAGAAGGAATAGGAGTGTCGAGAACGCTAGGTGATTCGTTGAACTCGCTTTTCTAAAGGTGAACGAATTAATATAGAATAAAGCAGGTTAAAAGAAGGCAATATTTAAGTGATATATCAGAGAGTATGGCACAAAAATTGTCTATAAAACTGGCACAACTTGTTTAGATCTGCAAGTTTTTTGCTGTTGGCAGGATTGAGGCGTGGCGGGACATGTGGTTAAGGTGACTCACCGGAAGAGTTTAAAAAGTTTAACAAAAGCGATGAGAAATCACCTTAATTAGTGGTGATCCACCGTAGATATTTGATGTATGATCGAGAATCGCGAGGCGTCGTAAGGTTTCCGTCGTGCAGTTTACCCACTCCGAACAAACCTCGCTAAAATTATAGTGCTGGTCAGGATTCAGTACTTTATAGGCTGTAAAATAAGTTATTTCTGCTTCAACACACATTTTATCGTTTCCGTTTTGACCAACTAAAATTCTGACATTTAAGATACAAAGTAAGGTAGTGAATTTTAAAAATTATATAGCCTCACGCTCAGCTCAATGGTCCAAGCACCCCTATCAACTAAACTTACGGATGCAATGCGGCCAACTCGATTGGTTCCAGGTCTCGGAGTCCAATAATGAACGAACGCGTATCGGCCACCACGGCGCTCACGTAATTCGCGAATAAAAGATCCAGGACCTGAAATCATTAGCCGATTATCCGAAATTAACGGAAATCAAATGGTATGCGACAGGAACTTCGTCACAAACAGAATAAATTTAAAATTAGAACGCTCTTGTGAGTGATCAGAATAGAATTGTTCAAGCTTCCGCCTCCTAAATTTATATGA